AATAATGTCATAATGAAATGTGACCATAAGTGATAAATGATCACTTTATCTATCTAATTGCCAGATTAGAGTTCTGATGAATTAAAAGTATGTAAAGTGAACTCAAGTTAGACTTTAGGTATGTCTGAACTAAAATCTGTACAACATTTACAAGAAAAGAGACATGCACTCCATGGGAAAGGAGGAAATGCTGTAGCATATGATTCATACCACATGTGCAAAACATTGACCAAAGGGGTAATGAAAGTCAAAATCTCAACTTTAACATTGTATGAGACTCTGAGTTTTTTTTTAAGAATAAAATCTCATAGAATACCCTTATTACTCTATTCTGTTCCTTGAAAACTTCATTTTAATGATTGCTATCTTAGAGTCTTATCAAAGGATTAAGATAAATTCAATCTGCTGGGACATTTCTAGAAAGCAAGTTAAATGAAAGTTGCAAGAATCGAGAAAAGATGAAGATTACGATTTTGAATTATCACACTATAATCACGTGTATTCATTGGTTGACCAATTATGTTTTACTTTTATGTAAAGATAGAACATAATTATGAATACAACGGATATTTATTGTAAATGAGATTGTTAGAAAAATGTGATAAGTAATCTAGGGTATTGCATACAACATACAACCTAAGTTTCACAATTCGAGAAGTTATATATTCCTAACAGATATATGACTAATGTGCTCTCGAAGTATGCATGGTCACACGACATATTTACTAAGGTATGAACCTTAAAGAAGCATAGAGAGAGATAGTCCCATCATGTGTGAGTGGGAGATATTGGATAAGTTCTAGTATTTCATTTTACTTGTTTGGATAAGTCCACCCATGATGAAGGGGCATGAGAAGTGGAAACTGCCAAAGGCAGTTTCTCATGAACCGCTCCCATATAAAAAGAAAGTTTTTCTTTTTAGAAAAGGTTACTCACTGTCACTTTCAAATACGCAAAGAAAAAACATGCTCTCTCTCTAAAATTAAAAAGAAGATACTTTACGCAGTTGATTCTTCCAGGTTTAATTTTTGCTTCAGAGATAAGGAGAAGAGGTATTTATGTTGTGTAAATTCATTATAGTTCATTTATATACAAATGTGATTGCAATGGTGACTATGATCTTGGGATTACTTTAGGATATATGTTATTCTATGTTATTTCCAACAGTTTTTAATCGATCTTTCATCTTCTCTTTGTTTAGATCTTAATTCCTATAATAATTTTGGATCAAATAGGTGAAGAAGATAGGAGGACCGAGCACTTGAGTTAAAAGCAAAGGAGAAAGTGTGAGTGGAATATTATTAAACTTGCATTTAAAATCATGTGTTGGTTGGAATGATCATATGCGTGTGCATACCCGATTGATTGAGGTTTTATTTTAGTTTTTTAGTTTTGAATTTCTAATAAATTGAAGATCTCCATGACATGCATGTGTTTGGAATTGTTAGTATGAAATTATGTTTATGAAAATATTGGATAAATTGCTATTAAAAAGAGGTGCTTATGCGTTGCATGTTACTTATAATTAGGTATGGCTTTTACATGAATTGAATGGTATATTGCATGTGCATTTCGGTTGCTGGAAAGGTGTATTAATGATATAATTTTGTTTAATTGCATTGTAAGATGTAATTGCATGTGTGGGAAGTCAGCTAATTAATTGTTTGCGGAATGGGAATTTGCGTGTAATTAGTTTTGTTTTAAAATGGAAATGCATGATTAACTTTGAATATGGCTGCTGGAAATTGGAACTATATATAATGCCCTGCTAGTATATTTATATTAGTTGGGGGTGTGCTTGGCAAGTGTCGGGTTAAGTTATTTCCAACTACTGGTTCTTTTTGGGTGTGATACTTGTTTATTTGAATCTTATCTTGTTGTGATAATTGAAATGTGTTAGTGGTTGGTTAGTTCGGATGATTTTGCAGCAGATTGGGGCTTTGAAAATTTGATTTTTTTTTTTATGTTGCTTGTTGCATGTGTATGTATACGGTGTTCACATGGAATAAAAGGTTGCTGAATATTTCTTTTTATTAATGAAATGGTTAATTTGATTGGCTATTGGGCTCTTTTACTTGTTTACAATTGGGAGTATTTTATTTGTTTTGAAACAAATGGTGTAGAATGAATTGGAAGGTCGGGGGTTAATTGTCATGTTTAGAAGCTTTGGGACCTCAAAAATAGATGATAAATATAGGGTGCAACATACTTTTGTATATTACATACTTTTTTATTGGAATTTTATATCATATTATACTTCATATATGCATAAGACATGCATGATGCATATTTGGAATGAAATTGTGGATGCATGATTATTATTATGTTTGACTCCCGGATTGGAAACTGCACCCATTCCCCCTCCAGACATCAGCTAGTATTTGATATTTATCTTCATGCGCGCATTGAGATGGTCCGTCCTACCGAACGATTGGGATATCCTACTAGGACAAGACGGACGCCTGACAAGCTCTGGGCAGGATTACACCAGGCGGTTATTGGCCGGTGTGGGATTTTGGACGCCCTGAGGGTAGACTGTGGGCGAGATTATATTTGATACCATATCATGACGCCCCGAGGGTAGACTGTGGGTCAAGCATGGTTATCGAGTGATGCTTGTACCATCCCGAGGGTAGACTGCGGATGGTGCCACCCCGAGGGTAGATTGCGGGTGGTGTAGCTTCATGTCTGAGGTAGAGACTAGTTTAGATAGTTATGATCCAGGCCCCTAAGTGCTAGTAGGGTGGTGATAATTGATTTATTTTATATGATAGTGGTGTGTGATTTCATGGCATCCGAGAATAATATATACTATTTGTTGCTTTATCATGTAAGTGCATTAGTGTTGTGTGGCATACAACTAGATTATTCATGCATGTTTTCAAAGTTAAAGTTATTTTCGTATAAAATATATTATCCGCTCACTGGGCTTCCCAGCTCACTGTTTTATGTTTCCTCCCCCAGGATCGTAGATCAGGTTTGTGTGGAGCATACTCTACACTTTAGGTTGGCCTTGACGCATGATGATCTGCATCTTTTACAAACTTTAGTGGACTCTGATACTATGTTTCTTTTGTAACTTGATTTCAGTTCCCGCTTTTATATTAATTATTTGTGTATTTCCACCTTCTAAACCTTAAACATGCAAATGCACTACTTTTCACTTTCGTCTATAAACGGAATTGTTTTATGAATGTTTTTTTTTAATATAAAGCATTCACCTTCCTTTCGGGATCCTGAGTCTCCTGGAGCGCCCGGATCCGGTGGGATAGGGATACTCGGGAGGGGGCATGACAATGAGGCTCAACCGACTAAGGATCCAAGTCATAACCCGAGCATCCTTAATTTCCCATTTAGATAAAGCCTCGACACCTTGAGGTGCGGGAGCACTCCCATCAATAAGACTCCACAATTCTGTTCCTTTAACAAATAATTTAAATTGAAACTCCCAAGTAGAATAATTTTTGCTAGTAAACCTAATATGGAACGATTCCAACTTATCAAATGACATGATGCAATCAAGAGACAAAGAGAATATCCCACCAGAAAATTGTAACTTGCACCGTGAAAAAAAAAACCACAAAGAAACACGCACCAGAAAATCTATTGCACTGAAAAGAAGCACAACCATGGACGACAACAGAGATCTCTGAAAGCCACAACTAACAAGAAATCAACACTAAAGGCGCCGAAAACAAGAGACCATACCATAAAACACCACAGACGGCGTCGAAAACAAGAGCCCAGAACTGGAAAATGCAACCGATGGTGCCAACAGCAAGAACCGAACCAAAACACCCACTTTTGATATCGACAGAAACCCAAGAACCAAAAAATAGCCACAGATAGTGCCGAAATCAACACCTAAACACCCTTAGAGGGAAAAAAATTGCAAAACAGGCAAATAATGAAACCTGCTCTTGATACCATGTCAGAAACTAGAGAGAAGAAATATATGAAGAGAGGTTTTGGAAAAAGTGCTATCTGACTTTCAGCCCCCTTTCTCTTATCAACGTAAAAGTCCTATACATGGAAAAATGGGTCAAATGCTATACCCAAAGAGCCCCTAACTGATCCATATTATTTAGCCTATATACATAGTAATATATCTATACATCTAATATTAATAGAGAAGTCCTAAATTATATAAATCCCTAAATTGTATACGGTAACAAATGCTAATAGCAAGTCCTATTATATTCACGATCCATTCCTCCCCCGCCAAAACCAATCCAACAAAAATCTCAATCATAAACAAACCTGACGGTGAGTCCCCTATCCTGGGAGTAGTTGGCTCTACTCCGAGGAAGTTGGTGCATCATTAGGGCAAGCCTTGGGCAATTGAAAGCCACAGAGACCAACATTTCCTTTAAAAGGCATTTCCAGTTTGTGAATACTTGATCGAACCACCAAAGTTGTTGGATTGCAGGATGAGTATTCCTGCCAAAATGGGAATGAACATTTTTCCCAACTTTTAGTACTTCCAGATTTCGGCAACTAGACAATGATCCAATATTCGTTGGTCCTCAAGGCAGTGCTGGCTAGAAACTAAACTAGAGCGATAGCAAAATCCAAGGAACAAGTTTGAGAGCCAAAATTTCCAGGAACATTGAAGTGGATTGCCCATTTGAGGGCTAATTTAGTTTCAAGAAAACAAAATGAAAGACAATATAGAAAACGAAGTCTTCTCCTGAAATGTTGTTTTCAATCATATAAAAAGTTACCGCTTACTCTCACGCCGCCGAAAAGTTGAGACGACTTACGACTTTGTTTTTACTTTCTAGGTTTCCTTTTTAACTGTTAGTTTGTCAAAGACTTAGTAAAATGACCAATATGTTGAAGCGTTTTGAATGTAACACTTTTATATTGCAGTTTGTAGCCGTCTGATTTCCCTAAGGCCATCGCAAACGTACACGTAGGCACTGGCACTGTCCCTCCCACCAAACTATGCAACCAACTGATCTTATCTCATAACTGTCCATAACCACCACAGATTTCTATGTATTCCTCCTAATATTTCAGGAATATTCATCCCTTTTCTCATTTCACCTCGACACAGCATACAGAATCTAACAATGCTCCTACGTGGCATCATCTCCACTCCCCTCCCATCTCTCCACCTCAAAAAAACAAATCGAAACGTCTGCGTCTCAGCTCAAACTACTAGTATCAACAAATTCTCCATCTCCGACCAAGAACTCGAATCCCGTGGCTTCATTCTGCGCCGTACCATCTCCGACCTCAACCTCGACCACCTAAACTCGGTGTTCGTTGCCGTTGGATTCCCCAGGCGGGACCCAGAGAAAATAAGACTGGCATTAGAACACACGAACTCTCTGTTATGGATCGAGTACAAGAAGACTCAGAAACCGGTGGCGTTCGCTAGAGCGGCAGGTGACGATGTGTTCAACGCAATAGTTTGGGACGTGGTGGTGGACCCGTCGTTTCAAGGGATTGGGTTAGGGAAGGCCGTGATGGAGAGATTGATAGAAGAGCTGTTAGCCAAAGGGATATATAATATAGCACTGTATTCTGAGCCCAGAGTGTTGGGGTTTTATAGGCCGTTAGGATTTGTAGCGGATCCTGATGGGATTCGAGGCATGGTTTATTCTAGAAAAAACATATAAAAGAAATCATAATCTCTCTTTTTTAATTTTTCAAAACATTGGTTTTTGGTGATTCAATAATCTTAATCAAATAAGACAGGCTCATGATTGACCTCTCTTTTCGTTTTGTGAAGTGTGTTAGTTTGGTGGTCATGTTTATAACAGTGACTCAAACTGGTTGATTGGTGCATCAGCTCAAATCACACCAAAGTCGAACCAGTGGGAATGAGTGTGATTGAAATCTGTAAAAGTACATTAGGACAGAAGGGAGATGTTTCAACTGATTGATTATCTTTCTAAACCATTGCACATTTTCTAGCCTAGGATTTTCGGTTCCTGGAGCAGATGCAGGGGCTAAAATTCCAGAAATACCAAAACTTGCCTAAAGAAAATTGTATCGACAGATTGAAACAGTTGAACTTTAGATACTTTTATTATTGAACACTGTGAGGGTTTTCTACATTCTACATTCTGATACAGCTTCTAATACAAACCACTGCTGATCACATTGAGGAGATTTTAATTCTCCAACTATTACTCATCGCAAACTGCCAAAAAGAAAGTGCTCCCGGTTCCATGTTTCTGTTCTCCTGCCCAAAACAATTAATCAGAAACTGAGGTCACTAGTTTCTCTAAATAATCAATGTTGTATATTGTGAAAACAAAAATAATTGTTAGGAAATGCATGTAAAGTATACACTGCATATGAAAATCACACGGCTGATAATCCACAATAAGCTTCACTGAGAAATTTAAACAGACGGGTACTGTGGTGAATATGCATGATCACTACAAGAAAGTATGGAGGAGGGTGAGACTGAGAACTGAAAAATGCTTATAGACTCAAAAAATTTGCAAAACATAGTCTTAGCTAACTTTGTATTCATGATTACCTCTAATTCAAATTCAGATTGGACAGATGAAAAATCAACATAACAGTAATGTCAGAGAGCCCAAGCAAAAATTGATTACATGCTTGAGGAAAGATGACAAAAGATTTCACTAAAACTAACGGAGAATACATGTACTAGATTCAATAAGTCATACATTGGTCATAGAAAATTCTAATTGAGACAAACATTAGGATCCAAAACCAATTGAGTTCAAGACATGATCACAGCAATTTTTTTAGTCCTATAACAAAATTCGGATTAATACCCACCATTGTTTCTACAAATAAAGTGACAATTGTTGGCGAAGAATATGGACCTAAACGAACCGACAATCAGCACCGAAAAAATTAAGAGTCTAAAACACTATCATAAGAACATTATTGAACAACCCAGTTGCTTATTAACAAAGAAAAAGCAAATGATCATTCATATCATGTTGATGGAGGTGAATTTGGAGAGAGAAGAAGCAATACCTCCACATATGGATCAAGAAATGGCCTTGGCGTTGTGCAAGAAAGCGATCGAGCATAGAATGGAAGCAATGAAAGCAAAAATGCCAAAACCAATCATCAAAGAAATCCCTGCCACTACCAAATCCAACACAGACTGCACACTTAACCCCATGAATAGCATTATGTTTCCTCTTTTATGGTCCTGAAATATGTGACTAAAAGACTTAGAGAAAGTAAGGAAAGGAAAATTTGAAGTGAGTTTTTTAGCTCGAGTATTGTGTTGAAGTTGCAAGCGGTTAGTTGAGTAGAAAGTTGGGATAGAGATTGAGCAGTAGTCTCTGGTACATAAAGACGGTGGAGAGAAATAGGATCAAGAGGCGAAAGGCAATGGAGACCGATTAAAATTACCGTTACTGTCCTCGTAGTGGGCTTGGGCCTCGTTAAGACCACATTCTGGATATTGTAAACTGTAAAGAACGAAAAGCTTTAGATAGATATACTTTTAAATTTCTATTTATTATTTTATTTTATCATCCATAGAGAGATATTACATGTATTCTATTGATGCTCAATTTCCACAAGGATGCCTGACTTCAACACTTGGTTAATTATGTAGAGCATTTTTTAAGATTAACGTACAATTCTCTTTATTCTTTAAGGCAATGTGGTGAGCATTTTGCTTAATTTAATTCTTGAAAATTAAGTTTATGCATTAACAAGTTTTTGTTAAACTTTACAAAGGGTCTTACACTCATTGTTTTAAAAGCCGGACCGGAGAGCAACCCGCTCAGCTTCCCGGGTCACGGTTCAATCGGTTGGACCGGTGACATTATCACACATCATGATGACGTCAACACATTTTAAAAAACCTGATTTTTTTTTTTTTTTAGATTTTTATTTTTTAATAAGACAATAACAACTTAATTACAATCCAACATGATTCAAAGTTTAAATTCAACAACAATCCCAACATAATTTTAGTATTTAACAACAATCCAAAGTCCAAATCCAAACATGATGTTGTATTTATATATTAAATGACAAAATACATAATAATTAATAACAAAACATTTGGTGCAAGCTAGAAAATAACCAAATAAGCATCCAAAGCCTATATCATTTTCATGGATCGTTGGTGGTGGACAAAGCCCTATGAATGTTGAACATTCTGGGGTTGAACAACTTGTATCATCAATGCTTTGTACTAAAATTCCCTCTCTTTTTGATCAAGTGCTTTTCAAAATTCTCAAAGCTTTATGGAGGGGACTCATTTCAATATACAAAATGTGGGATCATCACAACTCATAACTCGTCAACTCTTTTACGCTTTAACCCTTCTAAGTGCAACTTCTAGGACCTAATATATACTGGAACCCCTTTGCCAACTTTAAATCAAATTTTTGGTTTCGTCCTTGTTGATGGCCATCGAGAATATTTAGAGGACCCATTTGGTTTGGTTGAAATGCTTTTGGAATCAGTTTTACAAGAACACTTTTGTGACTAAATTGAAGTGAGTTGATTAAACAATGAGAATGGGCAGACACGACATGTTGTCAAAGAGCACAATGCCACTGAAATGGTTGTCATGAAAATAACCAAATAAGATTGGCTAATGTGTTTTTTACCTGGATCGTTGACGAGATGAGGAATGAAGCTGTCGTCGTCGATTTCGGTGAGGGAGGAAGACGTCGTCGCGATTTCAGAGACTGGAGTTGCTATCGATTTTAGCAATGAATGGGTTTGATTTCAACAAGGAATGGTAGCGATTTTAGCAAGATTGAGTTTTGATTTGTGTGGGATTTCAGATTTTCGCGATTTTGTTCAAATTTTTTCAGAGTTTTTCGCGTGTAGATGAACTGAGGAACAAGAAACTGCGCAGCACAAAGGGAGAAAGTGATAAATTAGGGTTTTTTTTTCATTTTTCAGATTGGGCCGGTTTTTCTTGCTGTCAGGTTGGACCGGCGGTCCAAAACTGTTCACGCGGTCCAATGATAGGTTAAAACGGTTAATTGCGTAATGGCGGGTTTTATGATGACTCGAACAGGACACATGACCCATTCACGGTCCAACCAGTTGGATCGACCGGTCTGGTTTGGCTTTTAAAACAGTGCTTACACTTCTTCAGCAAGATCTCAATTAATGGATTGAAAGAAATGAAGTCATATAGTGGTTCTAGTAACTGGTAAATTCAAGGGCGAATGACAAGTTCCCACCCAAGGTTTGGCCTAATGGCAAATTCCCACGCAAAAGGTTTCAAAACGACAGTTTCCCACCCAGCCATCCAATTTTTCCGTTATTTTTAACTACAAAAGGATAGAACAGTCATTTCAAAAAACAATTAAAGTTCTTGTGCTTACTCTTCACAACAAAATGGTGTTGTGGAAAGAAAGCATATACATATCTTACAAGTGGCCAGGGCATTGAAGTTCCAATCAAATTTACCACATTCACTTTGGGGGTCATTGTGTTAAAACAATCGTTTATTTGATTAATAGATTTCCTACCATAGTGTTGCAAGGTCTTTCTCCTTTTGAATTTTTTTTTGGCAAATCTCCTTCATTATTCTACAATTCTTCCTCCTAAGGGTAAATTTTCTCCAAGATCCACCCCATGTGTGTTTGTAGAATATTCTTTAGAAAAGAAAGGTTATTTACTGTACAATTTGGATACACATGCTATTTAGGTTACTAGAGATGTTGTCTTTTCTGAGCATATCTTTCCATTCAAATTACCCACTACTAGTAAGACTGTTTTTCCCTCAGACACTTTCTTAGAAACTGACTCATCTAAACCCTATCCACAATCTGGACAGTTCTCTACTCCAATCACAGAACCAGATGTGTCCTCTAGTTTAGCACCTATAGTAGACTCATTTACTACACCAGTCAACCTTAATCCTGCACCTGATTCTGCCAACCTAGGAGCACCTCCTCCTATGTCTTTAAGAAAATCACAAAGAGTCTCCAAACCACCCATTTGGACTACAGATTTTCACTTTCCTACACTTCCCTCTTCCTTACAAACTCATCTAGTCAAGTAGCCAATTTCGGATTGCCTTTCCTACGACCATCTTTCAACTCAATACCAAGTTTATCTTAGCAAAATGTTCACTTTGACTAGACCTACCAGTTTTTTTCAACCTTCCAAAGATAGTAACTGGATTGAAGCTATGTCTAAGGAGATCAAAGCCTTAAAAGATAATCACACCTGGTCCTTGATTCCTTTGCCTCCTGGTAAGCATCCAATTGGATGTAAGTGGGTGTACAAATTGAAATATAATGCTGATGAAACCTTAGAAAGGTATAGGACTAGATTAGTAGCCAAGGGTTTTACACAACAAGCAGGGATTGATTATGAGGTAACATTTTCCCCTGTTATGAAAATGGTAATGGTGAGGACTATTTTATCTCCTACTTCCATCTATGATTGGCCATTGTATCATCTTGATGTAGATAATGCTTTCTTACAAGGAGATTTAACTAAGGACATTTCTATGACTTTGCCTCAAGGATTTCATAAGCCTACTGCCCCAAACATTGTCTGCAAACTGAACAAGTCATTATATGGCTTAAAACAGGCTTCCATGGCCTAGAATTTTAAGCTTACTACATTAAAGAGGTTTCTCTCAATCTAAGTCTGATTATTCTTTATTTGTTAAGAAGCATGTTACTTAAAGAGCAATGCTAGTTTTACAAAGACACATACAAAGGGGGCATACAAAGACAATCCCCACCCTTGATTTTCATGATTTCTCTCTCTCTCTCTCTTTTTCCGTTTTTTCTTTGTTTTTTTCTTCTTACTGATGTCACTTTGTAGCCCTCTTTGTATGGGTCTTTGTAAGGATAGCATTTTTCATACTCAAATGGTGGTAGTTTTAGTCTATGTAGATGATATAGTAATTACAGGCATCAGTTCAGAATTGATAGCTCATACCAAGAAATTGCTTCATTCTCATTTCAAGCTTAAAGATTTAGGTCTATTAAGATACTTCCTTGGTTTAGAGGTAGCAAGATCAGCTAAGGGCATCACTGTTTGTCAAAGAAAGTATGCTTTAGAATTGATTTCCACTACTGGTTTATTTGGAGTTAGGCCTCTTGATCAGCATCAAAAATTTACTTCATCAGATTATGACAATCAGTTTGCTATTTCTGGGGATCCTCTACTGCCTGATGCTACCATTTATCAACAACTCATTGGAAAGCTTCTTTACTTGTGTATGACATGTTCAGATTTGAGCTATTCAATTAGTTTATTAAGCCAATTCATGCATGCTCCTAAGGTGTCTCATATGTAGGTTGCCTTGAAGATTGTTAAGTATATTAAACATGCTCCTAGTTTGGGGTTATTTTTCCCATTTGATAACACAAATTAGCTTAATGCTTACTGTGATTCAGATTGGGCCTCCTGTTTGATTAGCCGGAGATCAATTATTGGTTTTTGTGTATTTTTTGGGAAGTCTCTTTTGTCTTGGAAGTCTAAGAAGCAAGTTATAGTCTCAAGGTCTTCTTCAGAGGTAGAATACAGGGCCATGGCTTCTGCTGTATGTGAAATTGTTTGGCTCCAGCAATTATTTTCTGATATTGGTTTTCCTAGTTCAGCTCCTATCCCTTTTTTTTGTGATAACCAGTCAGCCTTGTATATAGCCTCTAATCCCATGTTTCATGAACGTACCAAACATATTGACATTGATTGTCATATTGTTCGCGAGAAGATACAAGCTGGTCTTATTCAAACTAAATATATTCCTAGTAATGAGCAGAGGGCTGATATCCTTATTAAATCTCTTGGCAGTCATTTACATCATCATTTCCTTTCCAAGATGGGAGTGCTTAATCTTTATCACTCACCACCTTGAGGGGGGGTATTGAAGATATATCAGTTTCAGCTTCAGTCCAGCACATTAGTTTGACTTCCAGCTCAACATACTAATTTGTAGAATTGGTTAAAATTGTTGTGTTAGTTTACTGGTGTAATAGTTTGTTACGGTTAATCATAGTCAGTTGAGCTGAGTTAGTACTCAAGTAAAGTGTACCCCATTTATTTGTAATTTTTCCAGATCTTGAATGAAATTCTTCTTCATTGAACTCTCTATAGAAAAGTTAATAAAGATATTTAGGTACTCAAAATTTTCCAGCTGCCTTGGATGTTCTCATCGTCTCAGATAGTAATTGAAAGGATGAAGGAATGAATTTGCTGTGATTTTTGTTATTATAGAGTGGGAAAGGTTGAACAATTTTCTAGTTCCAGTAACTTATCTTCCCACTGTCTTACTCCCCGGATCTCCCTATAAGCGGCCAAAATTTTAGATTGATGCAATTGAAGTTGATGACTTTCCCTGTCCCCTGTATAGACCAAAATAAATCATCCTACCCAATCTATCTTCTTTTGCTCTCAGCTTTCAGGACACGTTACGTTCATCTCATCTCATATAGCTAGCATCATATCGATGTCAGCACCAGTTTGACGATGAGAATTATAGTTAAGGAAATCATGAGGCAATTATTTTTATTATCTATACATGCATAAACATTACACTTTCAGAACTGAGTTAAGAAGAGAACCAACTTATCTTGGAGCATTTACCTTCTCAGACCAGACTTCCTTTCTCACAGGGAATCTTCCCACTAGTTAGTTTATGTAATGGTAACTGTCCTCTTGTAGCAAAGAAACTGAAGTCTAGACGCCCTAAAGCTAGTTTGGCATTGATCATCCACACCATTCTTTTTTATGAAGAAAAGCAGCATAACCCTTTTATCATCTGATGATTCCTCCTCATTATGAAGGGATGACACAGAGTTGTTATATCCTGCCTGCAAATCCAATCGTCTGACACTGAATGAGTGAAAATCGAAATTCATTGTAACTTTTCTTGATGTTGATGTGGTAACTTTGTGGCCGAATCAAGAGTTGATTGAGTGTGCATCCTTTGTTGGTAAGTACGCATAATTTATTTGGCGGAGAGAGAATTAGATGAGGTTGGGCATCGGTTTCCTCCCACGAATTTGTTCATTAGTGGACAGCATTTGCTTGGCAAAAAGAGCTGGGTTAGGTGAGGTTGGCATAGATTTTCTCCTTTGTTCAACTGTGGGCAGCATTTGCTGGGAAAGGAGAGAGTTAGCAGAGGTTGGAAAGGGTTTTCTCTTTTGAATGGTCTCTGATTCCTTAATGTCGACTACAACAGCATCAGATGTCAGAAAAGTCTTCGCCACAGATGCTGCATGCTCCAGACAACATCTAACCACCTGCTCCAACATCAAATGAAATAAGTATTCAAGTTAATTTATAAATTAAAAAAAGTGCAGATATGTACATTCAACATGCAGCCAAAGTCTTTGCATAATACTTGGGGAAGGCTTTATTTGCCTCAATTGAATTCTTAATGTAATTTCATAAAGCTTAAGCTATTCACTGCTGCAATAATTTGCGATTCTCGCATACAATCTACATATTGGAAGGTATACAGATTTTGATGTTAGAGCACTTCAAAGTCTTTTAAAGGTGCAACCATAAGGGGACCTAACATTACTTGTCCAACCCTTGTATTACTATGTCATAGGGCTAGCTATCTGTGCATTTTTTGCATAAATAATCTCATTTCTGATTACCTTAGACGGATCAATAATTCCTGCTGCCATCAAGTCTTCATAACAGTTTTTTGCAGCATTGTAACCGTACCTAGGATCATCATTAGATAGGACCTGCATAATGTAACAAGACACAACAGAGCATTTTGTTGCTATCAGATTCCACTGAAAGGAGGGGGAAAAAAACCAGAAATATTTTCGTATCTCATTTGATTGGTCAAAAGAAATGAAGTCATATGGTGCATGGATGTGCCGACCTTCTCAACAACAACATTGCCATTGACACCAGCATTTTTGGCTATTAATCTCGTGGGATAGCACAATGCTCTCTTGAAGATCTCAGCTCCAATCTGCATGGAATCCAAAGAAAGTAATCAGAATAATTTTAAAAGATCAATCAATTCAAGATTATACAAGTAATAGACTTAGAATTTTGAAACAAAATAGTGAATTAATTAATTACCACAGATTTTGAAAATTTTCGTTACTCTAAGTAACTCAAAAGATGATAAATCAACAATTTTCTTAGGCCTAAAGCTAATTAACTTGTATATTTTAGAATAATGACGGGAATATCTAGATTTAGAATGAGTAAAAGAAACTGGGAAGCGTGTTACCTTTTGTTCTTCATTTTCCAAAAGTTCTTTTATACTTTCCACCTTTGTCGATAGCCTCAAGAGGCTACAGCCACCACCTACTACAACACCTTCCTCAATTGCCGCCTGTAGTATGTGAAGTTAGAACTTAGAAGCTTACTAGTTGCTATTACTAATTTGGAAATCAAACACTTAACAAGAAAACCTAGTAAGTAGCTACCTTGGTTGCATTTAGAGCATCTTCAATTCTGAGTTGCTTATCCTTCAACTCAACTGCTGTTTGTGCTCCTACCTATTGTTTCAATGGAATGATGTGAAACACATCAACTTAAAAGGAAGTATGGTCTCAAGATTTCCACCGTATCAAGATGATAACTGTTATATATACTAGTCACCTGAAGAATAGCAATCCCGCCTGATAACCTTGCTATTCTTTCTTTCAGTATCTTTTTCTGGAAATTTTCTTCAGTATTCTGCAAAAAGAAATTGTAATATTGGTATCTGATAGAAAGCAACAATCAATTTAATTCCTCCAGTGTTGTCTTCCTAACCAGTAAATGGATCACATACAGCTTTAAGTCATACATAAAATTTATATGTTTATGGTGGTAAGAAATTGTCATTTAAGATTAAAGCATAATGGTTACATTGTGCTCCCCTCCCTTCCAGCAACATGATTCAAAGTTTTTTGAAGGGAAGTTTTCTTGTTCCAGAAGTGAGATATTTTTTCAGGTGGATGTGGAGAAATGGCGAACCGTAGGTAGGTTCCTAGCTATTATTATTATTGTTTGGGAAAATGAAATAGGGAATGAAGACATGACAACTTTACTTGCTTAGTTGAATCAGGTTTTAACAGAGCAAAATTGCATGCCACTGTGCTTAAGTTAATGAATGACTCCATTTGTGTGCTTCTGTTGAAGATTGCAAGTTTGCAACTGATGCTGCATTAGAACTTCTGAAAGCAAATTGGCCAAGTAAAGTATAGATTAAAGATATTAGAAGCACCTCAACTAGGCCTCGGATTTCAGATACCCTGTTCTCAAGAGCTGCTCGAGTGCTCCCATCTGTAACTATTAATGTAGAATCCTGGGTAATCACCACCTTAACAGCAGTACCCAGGACCTCCTTCCTAGCTTTATCTAGTGTCAGCCCCATCTCATCCCTGATCACAGTTCCTGCAAAAAATATAAATAAAAATGTAAAAGAGCGTAGTGCTATAATAAATCAAAAACAGTAAGGGGATTGAAGAAATCCATCAGAAAATACTGCTGTTTGAAGAATATAAATAAATTAAAAAATGATTCTCCAAATTCATTCTTATAACCAAATTCCCATGATTTAATCATCAAAACATCACAAGGTAACATAACAAGTCTTAGTTACGTTTAGTTTTGGGTACTGTTCCATTTTTTATCAAAATCAAAATGAGGTTCATACATTTGACATTAGATGTCTGAATAAATGCAAAGTATGCAGGTCAGGTGCATAATTTGGGAGACTGAAAAGTTAAAACTCCCTTCAATAAAATGGTAATACATATTTGCTTGCTGTTGTGACCGATAATTCAATATATCTAAAAATGCCAATGAAAAAGACACATCTAAATTTGGGAATCTAATCTACTACCTCCAGTCAAGACAGCAATGTCATCTAAGCAGTGGCTCTTCCGTTCACCAAAGGCAGGAGCTTTGATAGCTGCTGCTTTCAGCACACCTTTGAGTTTGTTCCTAATTAATAGAGCCAGGGCTGGCTGCTCAATGCCCTCTGCAACTATCACAACAGGATACTTCTCTTTCACTGCACTGTCCAGTATCTTAAACATGTCCTTTGGATTTGTGATTTTTTTGTCAACCAAAAGTAACTGCAACCAATGAATTTCACATCCTCTAATTACCCTAAAGAAAAAAATGCTGCACTATATAAAATTACAAGTTCATACCTTGCAATTGTGGAACTCCACTGTCATCTTTTGTCGATCTGTTACAAAATAAGGTGACAAATATCCACGATCAAAGTGCATTCCTTCTACAATTTGTAGACTGTTTTCAGCACACTTCCCTTTTTCAATTGTGACTACACCCTTTCTTCCCACTTGTTGAAGAGCATCAAAAATCATGTTACCTACTGTATAATCATTCCCTGCACTAACTGCAGCAACATCTGCAAGCTCATGATCCTCAACCTGCCAAAATTTGATTCCTCAAACAGTTGATTTCAAAAAAATAAAATAAAATTACAGCTATCTTACTCCTTGCAGTTTGTTGAATATACTTCTTGTTTGTTCCCAATGCTTTCTAAATTTTTTCAATCTGTTTTGGACCTTAAATTTTCTAAGCCAATTGAGAGAAGTAATCAACTTATGTACCTCTCTTGACATCAATTTGAGTTCAGAAACAAGGGCCTTTGAAGTCTTCTCAATCCCACGAGCAATTTGAACAGGATTCATGCCAGCTGCAATCACCTAAAGCAAAGCAACAAATTTTATTAAAATAATTGGCAAAGATTGACACGAAGAACTTCTCACTTATCAAATAGGAAAACAGAAAGTCTAATAAAAAATATTATCATCCTAAAAGATACTAAATCCCAAATTAGAAGCTCCTAAAGAAGGTAAACAACAGACTTCTTTTTCCTGAATAAAATTGGAGATAAACTTACAGCAGGCAAATAGCGGTATACGGCAAATAGCAGTATACAGCATATATGATATATTGGTCTTTGACCATCAAAATGAGGATTTATTTTGTTCGAAGTGAGTGTCTACTTGTGACTTACAGCAGACAGTTCATACCTTTACACCTTCAGTGATTAAACCCTGAGAAAGAATTATAGATGTAGTGCAACCATCACCAGCAAGGTCATTTGTTCTGGCACCAGCTTGTCTAACCAATTTAACTCCAACATTCTCCAAAGGGTCTTCCAATTCAATCTAAATTTAACAAGTTAGATGAGAAGTAATTAATTAAAAATGTCAAAATCATAAAGGAGAAATTTCCCCTCATTAATCACCTTATTCCTACCACTGTTTCAAGGCAGATCTATATGCCAACCTGAACGTTCAAATAAGGTTGAAAATTGTTATAATCTTTTAATCGTCTAGAAGAAATAGTTTTTCCATGGCTCTTAAGATGAAGAACCAAAACTTATTACCTGTTTTGACACAAGTTCTAATAGAAAGGTTACAATTAATAAAGAAAAAGTAAAAAACAAAAAACAAAAAAGAAGGAAACAAAGTGAGGAAGGGTGGTTTTGGATAAATTTAGGAGTAGTTTTGAGTGCTCTTTGCTCCACAATGGCCAACCATGATATATCATGGAGAATTCTTGAAAGTTGAAACTTATAATCAAATTTTAGGTATAAAATTTAGCCTAACTTGAATAAAAATTGGTGTTTTTGATTCATATTAAGACATGGAAGAATTTTGCATCACTTTGTACTGAAGGAGGCAAAAATTTGTAAAAGACCACACAAGCAGTAAGACACCGCCAAATCAAAGAAATTTACATGCCCTGTGATAGGTTGCTTCGATGATACTAGGGTTTATCATATATTTGCACAAAAATAGACCAAGTAGATAAATAAGCAGAGAACTGTTTGCTGATGGTCAGTAATAATTTTCATCCAAATTCTTTAGAAACTTTGAATAGCTTTTGGCATCGTTAATAGCAGGCTCCTAAGATGCAAAAAAACACTTTAATTTTTCAGTTCTATTCGAAGTTCGAGCGTGTGAATTCATCATCCTAGTAACCAAAATCCTAATTCCAATTAAGATGCATAACCAAGTACACAACATAAAATGGCGGAAACCAAAGAAATTAAAGTGCAATGTACTGAAATATTAGACTACAACACCTGTTTGAGAACAGTTTCTCCATCATTAACAATCTTGGGAGGTCCATACTTGTTCTGCAACACTACATTCCTTCCCTTTGGACCCAAAGTCACCCCTACAAGCTCTGCCACCAAGTCCACTCCTGTCTGCACCAATCAATAACACATTAACACAACACAACACAACCCAACAAAAATTAAAAAGAAGCATTGTCAAATGTGAAATGTAACCTGGAGTTTCTTAGTAGCAGAACCATCACGGTTAAAGTAAACCTCTTTGGCCATGGCTCTTGGGGTTAAAATGGAAGGTGAAGAAGAAGAATAAGAAGTCTCTTTGGGCAGTGTTGTATTGGTGAAAGATATTGCAGAAATTGGAGTTGGTGAACATGAACATGCCATGGTTGTTCCAACGAAATATCTGCTTAGTTTTTTTGGAGATTGGTTTCAAAGACAGTTGATTTCATATTCATATGTTTTGGATAAGAGAAAGAAAGAGAGATATTTAGCAGGAAAATTAAAAAAAAAAAAAAAAAATCTGGGAAGTTGTTTTGGCGCTATTCCGCCAGTAAACTGTATTTCAAGTCTTTGTAGACTGTTTTGGGCCTCTATCTGTACATCTGCCTTTGGGTTATCCAAATTCTTTGATAGTTATTGGATGAGTTTTCTTACATTTTTTAAGACAAATTATCTATAACAACTTTTTTACTTAAATTCAGACATTAATTATTAACCGTTTAATATATCAATCAAGAAACTGGAGAGGGAAGTTGAAGGTTATTACATCTTGCGTTAACTTGGAAATTTCTTTCAACTAATAAATTAATGACGATTAATTAGAATAAAATTTATGTTAATAGGATTGGCCCTTATGAGATGAGCCACCCCAACCCAGCACAACGTTAATTATTTATAGGCTATTCAACTTTAATATCATGAATCTTTTATAATATACTAACAATAGTTATATTAACACAAATTTAATTCCTTTTCTTGCTTTCTAGCATGGGATTAAAGGTATTCTGGAAAAAGCTAATGAAAATTCTGCCAAGTTAATCATTTTGAAGCATTAATCTTTAATTATTATAGAATTGTTGATGTTTTCACTTTTAGTTCTATCATTTTTATCCATTTTCAAACCATATTAATAAATACTAAAGTCATAATTTTATTTAGAGTAAACGACTTTTTCCCACTCAAGGTTTGCCTTAATGACACTTTCACACCAAAAAAATTTCAAACTACCATTTTCCCATCCAAAGTTAATATTCCGTTATTACTCAAAGCCGATTTTGATCGATACCGACAATGAAAATTCTTTCCGTCACCACCATTTGAACCTTCGGTCTCTTCTCTAAAAACCCCTCTTACTCGGATATCTGATTTCTCGCTAATTGTCAGCCACCATAAAGCTAAGGTTTTTTATTCTTAGCTGAGCTTCGGCTAATTCCGAAGGAAAATGTTCAATCGATCATTACCATTCAATCAACCGGCCTCCACTTTACAAAACCGCTCTTACCTTAGCTCCTGATAACTCGTCGAATGCCAGTCGAGGAAGTGAAATGTATTTTGGGTATTAACGAAATATAAACTTTGGATGGGAAAGTGGTATTTTTGAAACTTTTTGGGTGGGAAAGTATCATTAAGGCAAAGCTTGGGCGGGAAAGTTTACTCTCTCATTTAAGCATGCAATTTAATTTCCAAAAAGAAAAAAATTATTATATATAGAGATATTATTATACAATAAGTGGTGGAAAGAAACGTTACTGTAACTGATGAAACACGCAGTCTAAATTATAAGAAGTGTAGAATGTGTAGTGCAGGAGAAGATTGGAAACAAAATCGAGGCATGACAAAGAAGCGCATTATATCACAATCCCCAAACAATCTTTATCAAAAACCAAAATCTCCTTTTTGCTGTCTTTATTGCATGTATAATGGTCTAATTTTTATCCCTTTTTCTGTGTTTCTTTTTCTTCTTTTTTTGTGGGGAAAAAAATAAGCTGAGCAGAAAATAAAGATTTTGATTTTGATGAACACTTCAAACTCAATACACTGTGTAACTATAGGATAATATATGCTATTTAAACTATCAAATGCACTGTCAAAAATTAACTGAGAGGAAGAACCCAACAAATGATTCCCATAATTGAACTATATACATAAACGCATTTTAATTTTGTGTAATAAAGGCAATAAAAGTATATCAAATCTTCCTCACGATACAAAAGTGTTTTGATCAAAATCCAATCTCAAAAGTTGTGAATCTCATATGTGATTCTTCACTCATGATAGCAGGATAATGAAAATAGAATCCATGTGTGATGTTATCATTTGTAATATAAATTTTGGAAACATAATCATTCAATTCTACCTCTTAAGTTCAACAATATCCCAGATTTGCTGCTTTACTTTAGAAATTAATTCAACCTTATGTACAAACTGCTACCTTCTCTATCAAAATTAAGCTTGCCAAAATTACAACTACAATACCAACTAACTTTAGCAACAAAAAAACTAATCAAATAAGGAACCTCATAATCACTATTCAACTTCTTCCTCTTCTACTTTTCCTGGATGCAATCTCTTCTTCCCACTGAGAGCAACCCCAAAGAGCTTCAAAGTACTCTTGGGTTCCTCAGTTACAGTCACTGAAGATGACTTAACCACGCCTTGATTTACAGTAACCAGTTCTCTGAGCCTAGGTTCTGCATAATTTTGAACCGTTGATCTTTGAGCATAGTCATACGGAACAACTGGTTTTACATGATTCTGAATGAAGAAGATAATGTCATTGTAGAGTTTCTTCATGTGAGTGAGTTCAGATAAAAGCACGTAGTTCCTTCTGCGCAAACGTTGATTATCTTCAGTGAGTGCTGTCAGAATATCGGTCGGAGGTTTATAATTTGGTGATGGCAAAGGAGAGTCTACCCAACAAAAATTTTCCTGATCGGGTAATTGGAGAAAATGAGTTGGATTTTCATGGTAGTTTACTTGTTGGTGATAATTATGATTCTGGGGAGTTTTTCTTCTGTGAATCTCTGATAGTAAATGCTTCGCTCCTTTTCTGAAATATTCATTTACAAACTCCCATCTATCTGCAACTATCTTTCTGAAACCCTGAAAATGTATATAGTAATTAACCATTAATTAAGAAAATATAGCAAGAATGGAAGTTGCCATATTGAGTTTAAAAAAGAAAAAAAGAAACTCATGTTAATTTCAAATGAATGAATGCAAAAGTAGAGATATAGTGGAGAATATATAAAGATAGCTGTATAAAAGACTAATAATTCTTACATAGGTGTTAAGCTGCCTAACGAAGCTTGAGAAATTGTTGTGCTTGAAGTAGTTGGGAAGAAGATCTCTAGCAAATTCAGGAGGTCTCCAAACAACAAAAGTGGTTTCATCTGCACCCCAAGACACAATGTGGTCAGTGAGAGGATCATCAACAAGTTGGTATGTTTTTGTAAGAAACGGAGCAGGAACTGTCTTCTGAGACTCCACTGAGAACACCATTTCTTCACACCTACCAGTACTTTCAGCTGTGAAAGCCATTACTATTAATTTGATAATTTAAAGAAGGAAACGATATATGCTTCTTCAAGTACTTATTCTGAAACTAAAATATATTTAACTCCAAATAGTTGAATTAAACCTTCTCTCTCTCTCTCTCTCTCTCTCTCTCTCTCTTTCCACCTCTCACTATCTCATTATAATTTTCTAACTTTATGAAACAGAAACATATGACCATGTCACTAAATTAAATAAAAGCTCTTCTTTTCACTGTTTTCTAACCCTAAGAAGCATATGACTATGTCAGTAAATAAATTAATAATGAATAATGTGTTGAATTACTTTAATGATGTTAATAATTAAGATCCAATGAGATATTAATTATCTGTTGATTGTTCCTTTGGCAACTACTAGTAGTAGTAGTGGGTTGATGCAGCTTAATTGATAAAATCATACATTTAATCAACTTTTTCCTTGATGATCAGGGTGCTCCAATCCTTTGGTATTTTGTGGTGATCACAGTTCTGTCCTTTTATGCTAAAGGGTTGTGCCAGTTTTCAGTTCAGTGTACTCAAATGAGAAGCAGCTGATGCTTCTACTGTTCATAGAGAAAACAAAATTTTGGAAAAGCTTTTGAGTTTTGAGTGCCAAAATTATAAGCGGCTAACAAGCCTTTAAACAAATTAAGATCTTAATTTGGGGTTTTGCTAAATATATTGTTGTGATAGTTTCCAAGATTTTCTAATCTAGAAAGAGCTGAAAGCCGGAAGCTTGTGATAACATCATTTGCTCATTCAAAGCTTACTTTGACAGTCATATATGACGAAAAGCCCTAACTCAAGAAAAAAAATATTAACATTGGTAATTGAAAAAACTCCACACATATAGCTGCAGTGATCATTAGAGTCACCATACAATAGGTTCTTAAGAAATAAAAAAAATTAAATAAATCACATTGATGAATGACAACTTTTTCATTCGTTTTTAATTTTATGCATTCTATTAACTGGAGCATGAACTTATTCTTCTATAATTAATGACCTTCTTGGGAGAGCATTACTATAAGAATATGTTTTTAGTTAATTAATTAAGTCGAATAGCACAATTACATCCCCATTTCACATTCCAATGTTGTTTATCCACAAGAGGAGTAACGTAAAGCATAATTGTCAATGGATAAAATTATGCAATAAATTGATATAATACTGGAGACCTGGTCACTGAAAGAGAAAGAGAGAAACATGCAGAGACATATAAAAACATATGGTTTCTTGTTTTTTTTTTTTATGGAAGGGGATCTGAAAGGGCGTGCATGATTCTGACATTTATCTCCCAAACTTAAGCTGCAGATTTTAAAAATTGAATACATCCTGTTCCTAAGATGTTGAATAGAAGAAAATTTTGGAATTAGAATATGATTATTAAGTAATCAATTATTCGTTCCACTCAAGTAATCAGTTTCTACTGTTTATATATAACGTTTTAAGTCACGGGTGTGCCTTGGAATTTACAAAGCAATAAATCAACAAAAGGACAAGAATGTTCCTAGCTACTTCCGACTAAAATAAATAATATCATAATCCACGGCTAAATTTAGGTCAAACAATGTGAAATTTGTGTTCGTGATCAACGATAGAACTCCTCTTTCTAATGAAGAATTGTTAAATATGGAAGCTTGAAACAGCATCGTTTAAGTAACACTAATACGGCGTCGTTTTAGGCGTATTAATTTGGGCAAATGCAGACCACATGATTCGTTTCAGATTGAACGGCCAGGATCACTCACAGAGTCAAACCATATATAAGCGCATGATTCATTCAGTCTTGAGAAAAGAGAAAACGACAGTGGCTAGGGTTATATTGAGTTGGTTATTTTCTCTGTGTTAGGGTTGAGATTTCATTCCAGATTGTGAGTATCAGTCGAGTGATTAGGGGCTTTAATCATT